CCGTACTCGAGAGTTGACGCCGTCGGAGCAGACGGCAACAGAGTGCGGAGCAGAGAGGGATGGAGTGCTGAGCAGAGTCGGCTGGACCGTGCTGGAGATTGAAAGCGTTCAATGCGTCGGAGCAGAGGGCGACGGAGTGCGGACCAGAGACCGACGGCGTGCAGACCGGAGACCGACGGAGTGTGGACCACAGATCGACGGACCGCGTAGGAGATTGAAGGCGTTGAACCAAAGAGTGATCGAATGTGAAGCAACGAGTGACAATGTACCAACCAGACACTGACAGACCTCACCGGAGATTGAAGTTGTCGGAGCACACAAGGATGGAGCACCAACGACACGGCGGTGGAGTGTGAGCGGGCAGCGGATTTCACAAAGATGACAACCGAAAGGAGTTTGATTGTGCTTCAGTTTCTTTCTTTAATCAGAAGGGCAAGAAAGTAATTGCATGTTTCAAATTTTTTGCTATAAAGTCCCTTGGGACCTCATATACATTTTATGATTTCATGGGACCTTCCGGTGGTAAATTCTCTTCTGTGGGACTCTACAGTAATTTTCCCTTTTATAAATGCCCATTTCATTCATAAGGTATTAATTTGGTTCATATGGTGTCTAAATCCATGTGCCCATTTTGTAGATACACCTTTCATTCATAAGGTATTAATTTGGTCTATAAGGTGTCTAAATAGGCCCATATATATGAACTTGATGCATTATGTACATGCATGCATCCAATTTCAAGCATACTTAGTGATGTTCTCTTATTTAATTCTTTTGAGAACAAGTAGCACATTTTATCAATGCACATTTTTAATATTTTGCATCATTATATTCGAGATGATCTAACCGGTCATGCCAAACAAAAAACATATGAATTTCGGGTTCATTGCAATATTATTCTCAAACATTGATAAATTTCTACTTATCAATGGATATCATAAATCATGATGTAGCATTTTTGGAGCCTTATATCCTCATCTTTTACCCAGTAGGAGAAACTTGCACATGTCATATTGTTTTCAACCATCGATAGGGATAATAAACTATAATATGACTCATCTAGAGCCTAATACTTTTACGTTTCATCCAATGAGAGAAATTTACACACACCCTTGCAGATTCAAATTGTTCACAACCTTTTATTTAAGTCAAGATTTAAGCAAATATTTTGTGTTAGTTGAATCTTAACACTTTCAACTCTTCTAAAGTTGTAATCAATATGTGAATTTTATTATTATATTTTTACCCACATAAATAAAAGAAAAGATTATGTTTTTTATCAACTTAAAATTTTTTAAGGAGATTGTACAGAGAAATTCATTATAATAAATAAAAAATATTCAATTTACTTTTGATATTTTCTCTCAAAATCTAATTATAGGGATGAAAAGATATCTCTATACCAAACAATTTCATAGCTTTTCTCTTTTGTAAATAATATTGAATAAAATAAATTATATTGAGTGATGAAGTATTTAATTAAAATTTCCCCTTAAAGGATAAGAGAAGAGATGCAGCAGGAACCATGGTGCAAAAAACAGACATACTATTAAACTGGTTAAGGCAGTTATTCAAAACAGACATAACTAAGATAATATTGTCTACTTAAAATGTATAAAAATATTTATATTTAACTATAACAAATAAATTTAAATAAAAAAATTAATTAAATTGTCATACTAAGTAGTCGAAATGTATTGTAATGTCTATTTAGAAGGAAAAATGGGGAAACGTAAATATTTTGTCTGCCTTGAGAAGTAAAATCTTTTTATTGAAAATTATATAAATGTCCTTTACCTTTTTAGGCACACAACCTGACCAGACATATGGCCAGTTCACTGATTTTTTATCTGAACCAGCAGGTCCAGTCTAGTTTTATGTTGGAACATGAAAATGGGCCTTTGAATGGAATGTTCTCTAAAAATGAATGGGGTCTCTAAGGGCAATTTATTTTTCAGAATTTTTAAAAAAAATATAGACTCATTTAATAACAAATTATAATATTAACATATATCAAATTGAATATTACAAATATATAAGAATAGCAATTTAAATTTAAAATCAATAAAATGTAAAATATAAATATAACATAAAATAATAAAATAATAAGAAAAAGTAAATTCTCATGCATCCTCTATTAGGAATATGAATCTCCATTGCAGCATCATGTTTCTTCTCAACAAATTGAAACTATATGAAATTATTATAGATGTTAGCTGCTTTATTATTGTGCTTTCCAATATGTCAAGTTAGTTGATATCAAATTAAAATTATTATAATCATAAGAATAAAGCTAAGATTTTAAATAAATAAAAGTCTAATAAAACTAAGGAATATAATGTATATATATACCTTTACTTGATGAATAAAAATCCCTTATAGCACGTCATCATTCATTATAGTCAAAAGTTTCTTGTAATATGAGATATTTGACTAATAGCCTTTAGGCTATATTATTAATAGTCTTCAACATGTCTAATTGCCATAATTTTTTCTTTTATAAACAAATAAAAAATCAAGCATATATTATAGCTTTCGATCATTTAATCTCAAAATAGAAAATCATATATATATATATATATATATAGCTTTTGGCCATTTAATCTTAGGATAAAAAATTAAATATATGCCTTCTGGTCATATAAGATAGAAAATTAAAGTTATATGACCTTTGGCCATTTAATAAGATAAAAATTCAAAGTTGTATGGCTTCTGGCCATGATATAGAAAATCAAAGTTATATGGCTTCTGGCCATTTAATGTCAAGAAGATATATTTTACATTAGAATTATATGGATTCTGACTACTTAATTTCAAGGAGACAGAAATCAAATTTATATGGAAAATCTATCTTTGATCTTAATAATGAATCCAATGGTAAACTTTTAAAGAGACTGCAAGTAGCAATTGGATTTATATTAATTGGTAGCATTTGAGCTTCCAAGGGTTTTTACCTCCACATTTCGTAGCCTTTTGGCTTCACAATAAATTTTGCCATTTATTGCTAGCATTTTAAACTTTCTAAGGGTTATTTCCCCATCTTGTAGCCTTTTGGCTCCATAATAAATTTTGCCACTTATTTTCTAATAAATATATTCATAGAGCATTTGCTTGAATATGACTTTTAGCTATATTGTAACCATTACTCAATCAAATTCTTAATTTTGGACATTGGCTATATGTAATCATAAGTATTAATTAGAACTCTAGGTTTCATCAAAATGAGTGACATCAAGTCATTGACGGATGTATAAAAATATCATTTGAAACTTTAGGTTCTATCAAAGATAGTGACGTCAGGTCACCAAAAAATAGATAAAAACAAGGGAAAATTTCACTGTAGGACCGTAGAAGACAATTAATCTCAAAGAGCCCCCAAAACTTTCTGAAACCTCACTGCAGGACCAAGGGGCCAATCTGATATTAATTCCACAAACGAAATGATGCCACTGCCCCTAGTAAAAACTTATTTCCTCCGAAAATGAGACATATTATCAGCGGGTGTAAAAGACGGAAGAAAGACAGAAAAGGGGGGAGATGGCGTTATTTCTTGCCTCTCCCATGCAGCGCGTCGGTGCGGAAAGAAGAGATAGCTGACAACCATGAGCTGAGAAAACGTAGTGGCAGAGCTTCACTTTTGTGGTCCGTCCCTCCGCTGTCTTTCGGACTCCAAGCTAGAGTTGGTGCAAGAGAGAGAAGTCGCAAGTGTGCCCTACAGTGTTGCGTCTTCTCTGGAAGTAGCGTCAGGTTGGCGTGAGAGGTAACATTTGTTAAAATTTTGGTTTTGTTGGTGTGATTTGGTTAGCACAGTTGGGTTGTGATGGGTGAATGAGGAAGAAATGAGTATTTAAGTATATGGGCATGTAGGTTGGGAGTGAGTTGCAAATCTTACGATTTTATGGTTTAAGAAATTCATGCTCATGCTGTTTTAAGTTGTTAAAGATGTGGTGTTTGTGATGTTTTGAAAAATGGGTGCATATTGAGAATAATACACTACTGAAGGAACTTAGGTAGGTGAAAATGAAAGGGAAATGGGTGTGTGGGCTGGAATGGGTTATTGACAGGTAGATGCGCAGAGGAATGGTGAAAATATATAGTACGATGGTAAATTTGGTAATTTTGGTTGTGTGTGAGAAAAAGCAATATAATGTTGTGAAAATACTAATTCTTGTTGTCAATTGTCAAATTGCTGATGTAAACGTACGTTGTGTCATACTTGAATGATGTGCAGCAACAGAGGATAAATGGCTAGCAGTAGTAGGAAACAAGTATTTTGCATCTTTCATGTTAGAGGGCACTTTGTAAAGACCTCAGAAGGGAAATTCATTTATGAAGGGGGCATCATTACTGGAAGATTGATTAGAGAAGGGATGACATATGAAGAACTACAATGCATGGTAGCTCATGATGTGTGGCCAGGGACTTGTGAATATAAAATGAAGTACACAGTTAGCTTTGACCGGGACACATTCTTGGATCTTGTTGACGATATTGGTGTTGGACAAGTAATTGAGTACAACAATAGTAGTGGCTATGTTTATGTTTGTGAGAATGAGAAAGACTTCACACAAGTGTCACAGCTGGACAGTGTACAAGAGTAAGTTGTTTTCAACTGGTTTTATTAAGATTGTGTGTAGGATAAGAAAGAATATGTCTAATTTTGATAAATTGAACTGTAATACTCAATAGCTGTATTTGTTTATATAGGTTAAATGATTTGGTTGGCCCTTGTGGAATGTCAGTATCTACAATTGAATTGGATCTAGACACAGACAACATAAACATATCTTCCGTACAAGATGTGTCAATACTGATAGGAAGTGTAGGTATGGAAACTTTGCCAACCCCAATAGCGGTGATGAATTCATCAAAGTGGGCAGATTTGTTGATGTCAAGAGGGCAAACCTTTTGTTAGTGCTGAACATTTTAGAGAGGCATTATATAAGTATAACCTTGCACACAAGTTTGGTTACCGGTATGTAAAGAATGATAGGCATAAGATGATTGTGAAGTGCTGTGTAGATGGTTGTCCCTGGGAAATTTCAGCATATGGTGTAGGTGAGAATAATGGATTCCTAGTTGTGAGAAGATTTAACCGTGAACACTTGCATTATGTACAAGACAACTTAGTTGTCCCTCAGAGAAAGAGGTGCAAACTTGCTTCAGCAGTCATAATAGATGAGTTGATTTCTTGCATGCATAAAGCTCCAAATGACATTAGACGATATTTGGAAAGAGAGTATGGGTTGAGCCTCAACTACCAACAAGCATATAGGGCGAAAGAGAAAGCATTGGCAAAAATTCATGGTTGTCCGCAGGAGTCTTATATGCTAATCCCTTGGATATGTGAAAGGCTAAAGGAAAGTGATCCAGAAACGGTAGCAAAGTGGGTTGCATCATCAGATAACAGATTTCAAGCTGTATTTATTGCATACGGTTGCTGTGTAGAAGGGTTTTTGAAAGGTAATAGACCTGTATTATATGTGGATGGATGCCACTTGAGTGGTCCGTACAAAGGAACGTTATTGGGAGCATAAGCATATGACGCGGATAATGAATTATTCCCACTTGCATATGCGATTGTTGGAGGTGAGACGCTTGATGACTGGGCATGGTTTTTTGGTAACATAAAGGATATTACGGGATCATTAGAAGTGACAATAGTATCGGATAGACACAACTCAATAAAAGGTGCAGTGCAAACTGTGTTTGGAGGAGATCGACATGCTTTTTGCTACCGTCATGTGAAGGAGAATTACAGTGCTGAGTTTTTGAAGATAACCAGGGGAAAGAGGAGGACCAACGGACAGACAAAGGAAGTTGCACTAAAATTACTTGATTCTATTGCATACGCAAGACTTGATAGAGACTTTGATCGCAGTATGGAAAAGCTAATGGCATTTTGTCCAGAATTGGGACAATGGCTTCAGACAAATGGAGACATTGAGCGTTGGGCACAAAGCAAATTTCCTTACAAGAGGTGGGACAATATCACAACAAATCTAGCTGAATCCTTTAATGCTTGGCTTGTTGGTGAGAGGAAGCACAACATAGCTGTCTTGATACATGAGCACAGGGAAAAATTGGTAAACAAGATGTACCACAGCAAAGAAGCCATAAGAATTGGACCAGTGGTGTGGGACCTAATATAGAGGAAAAGTTGATGGATCATGTGGCCAGATCAGAAAGAATGGATGTGCAAAATTATGGAATGAACAATTTCAGGGTCAGATGGGGAAACCTAGATGTGCGGGTAAATCTTGTGTTACGTGAATGCACCTGCAAAGGTTGGCAAATGTTAGGACTACCTTGCCCACATGCATGCGTTGCAATCAAGAAGGTATATGGTAATATATATGCATATGTCGATGATTGCTTTTTACTCTCAGCCCAAAAGAAAATTTATGGCAGACTTATGATTCCAGTTGAGACCCATGACATCCCTAGGCCAGATTCCCTTCGATATGAAGATTACTCATCCACCATCTTCCTACAACCACCATTGACAACTCGGCGTGCTGGAAGACCCAGAGTTAGGAGGATTGAATCACAATTCCAGCAGAAGAAAGCGTATCATTGCTCAGGATGTGGTAAAGCTGGTCACACTAGAAAGATTTGCAGTAACCCAAACCCTGGGTGACTTTGTTGCTGAAAATGGTCTTTTATTTTTTTGGTTCAACACACAGCTACTTTTGTACATAAATGAGCCCCACTATGTAGTTGTTGAGTTGTTGGGGAAGTAGCTATGACAACCCATTTTGATTTTTTGGAGGTGGGTTCGATTATATTTTGTATAGTGGTGTCAATAGTTGAAAATTTTCATGACAGTAGGTGACTATAGCTGTCGCAAGTTATGTTAGGCTGTAATCTGTCCACATGCAAATGGACTATTTTTAGTTGTAAATATATGTATGTATGTTGCAAATTGTGTTATGTCACTTGCAAACAGGCTCTCCCCTGCCTGTCCACTGACGGACAGCTTCTTCAGGTGAAGGTCGTCATATGTAAATGGACTGATTACAGTTGTGAATATATATATGTATGTTGCCAATTGTCTAATGTCACTTGCAAATGGTATACGAAACCATACTTGGACAACTTCTCCAGGTGAATCAGTCCACATGCAAATGGACTATTTTTAGTTGTAAATATATGTAGGTGTGTTACGAATTGTGCAATGTCACTTGCAAACGGGCTCTCCCCTACCTATCCACTAACGGACAGCTTCTTCAGGCGAGGGTCGTCACATGTAAATGGACTGATTGCAGTTGTCAATATATGTATGTGTGTTGCCAATTGTCTAATGTCACTTGCAAATGGTATATGAAACCACACTTGGATGCCTTCTCCAAGTGAATTAGTCCATATGCAAATGGACTATTTTTAGTTGTAACTGTATGTACCTATGTTGCTAATTGTCTAATCTCATTTGCAAATGGGCCCTTGCACACTTGTTCACCCACGGACACCTCCTTCAGTACGAGTAGGTTAGATGCAAATGGATTATTTATAATTGTGAAAATATGCATGTATGGTGCGAATTGTCTAGTCCCACTTGTAAATGGGTTGTCCCACACTTAAGTAAGATGCATGCATCAGGTGAATCAGTCTACATGTGAAGCCAGGTATGTGTCTTGCAAGTTAGCTAGTCCCCCTTACAAATGTGAACGGACTGATTCCACGTGTGAATATATGTATTTATTCTGCAAATTGGCTAGTTTCCCTTGCAAATGCGCTCTCCCGCACTTGTTCCCTCACGGACACATGCTTCAACTGAACCAGTCCACATGTGAACGGACTGATTCCACGTGTGAATATATGTATTTATTCTGCAAATTGGCTAGTTCCCCTTGCAAATGCGCTCTCCCGCACTTGTTCTCTCACGGACAGATGCTTTAGCTGAACCAGTCCACGTGTGAATATATGTATTTCTTCTGCAAATTGGCTTGTTCCCCTTGCAAATGCGCTCTCCCGCACTTGTTCCCTCATGGACACATGCTTCAGCTGAACCAGTCCACATGTGAACAGACTGATTCCACGTGTGAATATAGGTATGTCTTTTGCAAATTGGCTAGTTTCCCTTACAAATGGGCACCCTGTTCAGGTCAAGGACGGCACATGTAAATGGACTGATTCCAGTTGTGAATATATGTATCGGAGTAGCAAATTCCCTAGTTCCTCATGGAAATGGACACCTTATTTAGGTGAAGAAGGCACTTGCATATTTAAGAGGACACGTTGTTCATATGAGGACAAATGAACGACACTTGTGAATGGTCTAATTGTTGTTGTTAACTTATTTGTCTCTCTTGCAAATTGTCTAATCGTTCGTGCAAAGGTCTAATCCCTGATGTAGGTTGTTCAGTTGGAAATGGACGAACATTTGGTGTTAATTCCTGTTTTGTTGTTGCAAATTCCCTAATTTCTGTTGTTGACCGTACATCTAATGAAAGTAAACAAGTAGTGATAATAGAATCCATCAAAACAGTCTTTATTAACATCTTTTGTATGCACAACATTTAAGTCTGCATAAAGTGTTCACAACAACAATTACAGTGCTTATCAGCAAAAACTACAAGGTAGGAATTTGATCAGTCATCGCTTTCTCTTGTGTTGTCTGTTAATGTGGTCAAGGTGTTTGGTAACAGCATCTGACTTGATGTTTCTTTGATGAGTCACAAGCCATCACAACAGCTCACACCGTATAGATGTGTATTGATCCTATGGGACAACAATAACTGTTCTCAGTAAGTTGACACAAATGCATGATGTCATTAACATATAATTCAACACCTACCGTTGTATAATAAGGCATGGTGAATAGAACTCCATCTTTCTCTTGTGGGTTAGGCCACTCTCTTAGATATGTGATGACATGAACCCCACAATCATCACTGAAAAAATGAACACATCACTATGCTGGCTTATCTATGTTGATTATAATTTATGACAAATAACTTTCAGTGAACAAAAGACTCACGTATTGTCTTGAACATGAACCGTGGGATACAAGATGTCATTGTTTGAATCTGGGTTGGCCAACCCCTCCAGCTTAGGCTTCACTCTCCTTAGTATTTCAATGAAGTGTGCCCTCTACACAATTACAAATGATTATCACACAGGGGATACTATAGTTGTCCACAAAAGTAGCAGAATAATTACACCACTTATAAAAGTTTGCGCCATCATTTGCTGCCCCTTTAATGCTGGATCAGACTTATTCTTCTTCTTTTGGTGCTTCATTGTATCCTCACCATCACGCAGAGAGTCCAGCACATAAAACTTTAGTGTGCTTGGTTCAAACACAAAGCAAAACCAATGCAGTGCAAACACAACAGGTGCAAATATGTATTCACATTCAGCCAAATTGTATCCCAGGTGTTAGGGAAGTATTTCTTTCAGGTGTTTATCTACTTGCCATGCTGTGTGTTGCTACACCATCCTTGCCTATTACAACAGCAAATTGCACAACAATGCAAATTGTCAGTGAAGAAACTGTATCGATAACTTGATTGCACAATTTAAAGCATTGATCCATTAACAGGGGATAGCACTAATCGTGAAATCTGCATCAAATATGTGTCTTTTAACCGCAGAGGCACTCTCCTGTTGGTCAGCGTTCAAGGTGTGGGCAATCAGAGTCATGATCTGCAGAATAAAGGAGCAGGAAAATTAAATTAAAATTGTGGCATATTCCATATATGGCCACTTTGATGTAACTTGAATAGGTGCACGTACCCTGTTGCTTATCCACCTTCTGGGACCCAGTGCTTGTAGGTCTGATCGTGTTGCCAAATGCCCAAACATATCTACCATGACCCTACAACAAATATGAAAGTGAAAATAAGTAGTCAGTGTTGCATAGTAGTATTATTCACAGGCTGTCTTTTCCATAATAACTAACTATACTTACTCTTGAGCCTCATCTGGTTGACACCACTTAGTACACACAGTATAAAATGCATCCCTGTCACTCATTTTCACCTTTCTGCCATAAGTAGACATGTAAGGAGATTTAATTGTTGAGACTTTACGTCTACTTGACCTCCTTGTGGGTAGCTGCACTGCTTTGCCAACCATTTTTCCTTCTTCGTTTCCTTCTTCCGTTTAAGCTGCCTATTCATCTTCAGTATCCTTTTCTGTAGCTTCATCTTCTCTCACATTGTCGTTCTCGTCTTCCTCTTCTTCTTGCTATTCATCATCATGCGATTTGTCACCACTTTCATGTGTTTCTCCGCCCTCTACAGTCATAACTTCATCATGTTGTGGCCGCTCATTTTCATCCTCCTCAGTGTGGTGTTCTTTTTCTTCTTCTTCATTGCCTCCCGGTTAAGAAGTTTGTTTTCCAGCTTAACTAATTTATCACAAACTAAGTTTTGAATCTTGGCCATCTCATTGTTCAATGTATTGTTGAAATTGACCCAAAACTCTTTAATGTCCTGCACATTGTAAATGTATGTCATCAAACAGATATTAAGTCTGACCAACAGACATTACCACATTGGTATTACTCACCGGATGATGGAAACTTCTACTACTCCCCGGTTGTGTTGACTCATTCACTTCAGCAGTGGGTGGATTGTAGAAAATGCCATGTCGACTCTCCTTTTCCGCATCAATTCTCCTCTTCACAGCCTTATCATCCCAATGTTTGACGGTGTCTTTGTCTTTTGGTTTACCTCCTTGCAGAGGGAACCTTTGCAGGAAGTACAACTACAGAGAAAGAAAAAACATGACTCAAAAATCAAATTACATAATACATCAACAGTTTAATGGTCAAAGCATATCCAACAGGGCATATTTTGTAAGGAAATATGCAAGTACCAATAAAAAGTAGATGCACCCTCCGACAACTCTGGCACTCTCGGTCTGTCCTTCCTTACTGCTCCTATTGTACCGTTTAATTTCCTCACTGAGCTCGTCAAGCACAAAGGAAGCCCAGTCAAATTTTTTCCAGTTTTTTTGTGTGCAGGCCATTACTTTTAGCACCTTGTCACTCACACTTGTACTTCCCGTGGGACAAAGAAGAGTACCCACTGTGAAAGGAACAAAATAGAATTCAAAGTTTCCATCTTCTTCATCACTCTTTATCTTCTCCGCAATTTGAGAATATGTCAGTGGAGTATAGTCCTTCTTCAGCTCATTTACTTCATCCTTGAAGCCATCCAACTTCACTTTGGAGCCCTTATCTGGTAACCCAAGAACCCTCCTAACATCTGTACTAGTGACCTTCTTTGTCTTCCCCCTTATGGTGATTTGTTTACTTGGGGGGTCATATGCTGAATCAACTGCAGCATTTAAATTTTCTTTGCCATTTATAAAGTTTTCCACTTCCTTGAATTTTGTGGGGGAGCACCGAGTAGAAAATGGGGACACATATTTCTCCTTTCTTTTTCTCCTCTATCAGCTATTCCTCCTTCTTCCTGTACGGCTCCCTGTCAGCATTACTCATCTCCTCCAAATTGCTGAAGCCGCATCTGTGATTGCTCCTATATTTCCATGCATCTCCTGCTTCTTTTTGCTCCTAATATTCTCCTTGAATACTTTCCAGCCGATAACTTGTGCATCCTTTTTTCCCATCTTCTTCCTGTATCCAATAATCACAAAGTCATTAGTTAGTACATTAAAAAGCACTTCAAA